GGGGGGTTTGGCAGAACTCGGGACGCACCGACTTTGAGCCACACTGACTGCACTGAAATAGAATTGCGACTCAATGTTTACCTATTTTTACAGAGCAAACCACACATAGCAAAAGACAACAACACAGCTTTCTCATCAGTGACCTACGACGCCAATCGGCGAAATAACAGAACGTGTACTTTTTCTTTATCACCACATAGGCGCGCACACCCACATAAAAGCAACTATAGATGGAATCAAGGTCAAGGCAGTCGCGGTCACTGCCGTTTTCACTTGCACTGACACTGAACAGAAGGCAAAAAGGTAGCAGTTTGTCGCCCAAAAGGCAGCTGAGCAGTCGTCACTGCTCATCAGCGTAACCCCGACAAGAACTCTGTTCAAATGGCAGACGTGAAATTACGGAGTCCGTTGGAATTATTTGCTCGTGATGATGACAAGGTGACGAAATACAGGCATAAAAAACGAGTGGGTGACTACCTGATTGGACGATGCATCGGTAAGGGATCTTTTGCCACCGTCTACGAGGCCATGCACGTGCCGACGGGAGAGAAGGTAAGTCGGCCCTAGTCAGTTATTCTGCCAAAACAGTATTTTTCAGTCAAATAAGAGAATTTGAAAAATTTAGCCGTGAAGTTCCGAGGATATGGCTGTCGAATCCTACAGCCTAGAATTTTAGCTAAAATAAGCCAAACCTTAAACTTAAATCACAGCAGAGATTTGGAATACTCACACGTGGGATTGCAGTGACATAGAGCATAAATTAAAAGCAAAAGTTCTTTCAGGAATTGTAAAATACTGGTTTTCGACTGCGGATCAGCTACTCGCGCAGTTTTCGGTGTCCTAATGATTTTTTTGGAGTTCAACAGTCCTGTCTAGACAGTATTCACAGAAATCAACTTTTAAAGCCTTGATATTCGGTAAGGATGGGATGGACAAAGCAGTCAGCCACTCGGAGAGTGCGCAAACGACCACATTTTCCAACGCCAATGCAGGGGGGGCAGGTGGCCGAGCAATCATGGTGCCAACCTGCTACACGAATGAGAAATACTCAGCATGTCACGACCCGTATGCCGGCCATGAAGAAATTTGCGTATGAAATGGTAACGTACTATGGGCAGATAGTATTTCCGGCAAATACAAGGGCAACTAGAGTGGTCATTTCTGGCTTAGTAGCCATCATCAGCCAGCCATACCCAGCCCCAAGTGGTGTACCACTCGAGGCTCGAACTGACGACCTTTCTGAGAAATGAGGTCAAGAGCAAAGGCGTAGAGGGACAAGTGAGTTCTAATAGCGGTCAGTGAAAGTTCATCAATGAATGATAACATATTTCGTTGAAGGAGAACCGTTTATTGTGATAAGTATGCAGTAGACTAGCAACTACAGCCTACACATGCGGAAACTTTGGGTACGAGTAGCTCGTATCTGACGCTGTCTTTGATGATGGTTTCGAGCTGGAATCCGAAACGGCAAACGAACAAAGCTCTTGTCCCGGTGATTGTAGCCGTGTCTTCCCAATGATTGTTACGGTTTAGATGGGAGGCGCTGCGTGCGTGATAAGCAGTTTGCACTTTCGAACGACGATGGCCTGACGACCACAGTAGGCCTCTTTGTTCCCGATGGTAAAAAAGGTCGGATCTCCCATGGGTTTTCTGAACACCCGACATAATCAGTTGGGTTAGGAGGACTAAGCTTCACATGTAGTCGATACCAATAAAGCCTTTCAGGTTGTTTACTGGACACCAGCTAATTTTTCCAAAGGTCTACGCCAACGGATGCTCGCAACAGCTGAAGCCGTAGCCATACGGCTAGCAGATCCAGTGCTGCGTTGTCAGAAGACGCTGACACAAGCCCTTAAACTTCCGTGGCCTACACCGACACCAGGTGGCGGTAGCATTTCGCCCCTACCAACTAGCAGCAGTCTCTCAACCAACATACTGATCTGGCCTACTTTCGAAAACTGACATAGTCCACAGTGGCTAATCAGCGCCCATGTTAGACAGTTATTGATTGTTTGATTGCTTCGCAAGTTATTGATTTTTCTAAATATTCAAACTTTAATTGTTATGTACAGCGTTCATATCCCCTGCAAATGGTTGGCCTGATGACGAGTTGCTGAAAACAAGTGTTTGCCATAAACTGAATTTTGAAATGCTGATGGTCACTGCCAGCTGTATCAAAGACGCAGTTGGACGACGCTCCATAGAAGTTCGTTGAAGTATGCGTTTGGGTTCCTAGCGAGTATAGATGATGGAAGCACTTGCTGAAAGTAAACGCATACCACAGTTTTCCTCCCATAGGCATAGATTATGTGCTAATTCTGCTGAATTTTCCCATTTGACGTTGAAATGAATTGACTTAAAAATATTGCACACCAGTTCGGCCCTATCGACTATTATCAGAGACCTCTCCCCAATGCATAACACTCCATACAGGCAGGTTAATCGGCTGTAACCCGTGTCACGCCAACTACAGGCGACACGATAAGTAGAAAATTCAGCTATTTCTAAAAACAAGCCC